AACAAAAACAAACAAAAATACACAGGACCACTTTAAGAAATATCAGAATAGGCCGGTATTAGTTTTTTAGTCTAAATTCAGCTGACAAAAAAATTCACACCCTTAAGCTCCTTTAGTAGCTGTAGTTTTTGATCATATGAACACAACTTCCTCATTCTTGACCTTTGAAATAGGCACATGTGTATGAAAAGAGTTAATTAGCTAACTAAAAGTGGTATACAAGTACTATCCATTTATGATTGGCATGATATTAATCATTTTTAACTGGTCTTGTGCTATTATGCAGTTGCACCATTGTTGTGCGAGGGTTAGGGTGTGCGTTGTGTGACACTATTATTTAAACAAATACAGTTTAATACTACAGGTCACAGAATTCTGGGGGCAGCTTAACGAACTATTGTCATTTCAACTTGTGTTTCGCCAGTTAAATGCTGTTAATTTGAAGCTGCAGTAGCAGGAAATGTTTGCATTTGCAGTAACTTAATGCTGATTTTCTTTAGGTATTTCAGTACAGATGCTCTTTATGTAATACTGTCAATATTTAAATTTTGAAATCATTTTATCAGTGGCCATGCTGCTTCTCTTCATACAATACAACACAACCATTTTAATGAGTGAAATGTTTGGCCATCTCAAAAGATTTCTGTTGATAGTCCGTAATTTAACAAGCCATATACTGTAGTCAGCCATACCAATACACCTCCAGTCCCACTGAGACCATTTTAAGCATTTGGATGAGAAACCTTTCTGGGAAGAATGGCATTACATCAACATGTAGAGTAAATGAGACATCAGATAGGTCTATGTAAACCTATAGGATACAGGTTCTTACACATATGTTTGTTGTGGGGATGGGTCCCTCACAGTCGGGGGCCCTATTGAGGTAAATACTGGCCACTTACCAAATAAAGACATTATTTTAAGAAAAGATTTTTGCATTCAATGTATTTTTCCTACTTTGTTTATCTGTCTCTGCAGAATGCAGGGGATGTGGAGAGCACCTTAAATATCCTCAATGTCCTTGATGAACTTCTGTCTGCTGGTAAGCCAAGTTCAACTCTCAACCATGTAACTGCATTAACAGTAATATGGTAATATTAAGACCCAGAAATTAATATTTGTATTCTTTGGAGGGCATGCCACTGAGGCCTTTATTTCAGACTCCATGCATGCAGTCTAATTTAGTCTTAATGTCCTGTAAAGAGGACATCATGGGCTTTGATGTAACACACTTCTGTCTTTTCAAAATGGCAAAATGCAGCAAGGCAGTAAGGTAGATAAGTGATAAAATGTGATGTGTCACTGCCAGTGAAGATTTCCAGACAATTCTCTGCACAACATACTGTATATAGCAGAGGTGGCATTGTTTTAGTTAAAGTCACAAGCAAGTCCTAAGACTTTTATGCCCTAATGTCATAATAAATGATTAATAAATTACATTTTAACAACAGAACGAACAAGAAGAAATTATATATATGGTATAATTTGGAGGTCAGTAATGTAATGTGAGGTCTTAATGGTTCTCTCCTGCAACATGATTAGATGCTATTGGATTGATTCAAACAAAGTGGATCTGGGGAATTGAATGTCGACTCCGGAAATGAATTGCGTTATAGATAGATAGATAACTTTATTAATCCCACAATGGGAAATCACTTGTCACAGCAACATTTGAGTGAAATAAATAGGCTACAGATATAAAAAACAGGAACATTTGCATACAGCAGGTCCAAGGTCTTATTGTCTCTGGTGGTGCATGTGACAAACTGGTGG